TGTCCAGTTCCAAAATCCTGAGAGGCCACAGGAGAAGAGATTGCGGCTTGGCTATCCCCGCTGTGCGGTGATTTCTTGCTTTCTGTCTGTCTCTGTCGGTCTCTTCGGCAAGCACATGTGCCCTATAGAAAAATCCCTCAAGAAGTGTTCTATATCAGGAATGGTGGTTACATAACTATAATTGTCAAACCTCACTGAAACAGACACTTGGAAAGGGTGAATTTTATTAAGTGAAAATCACACCTCAATAAATCTGACTTAACAAAATACTAAAACAAAAGTTAAAAACAATAAAACAAGTCCAAGAAAAAAAAATTTACAGTTTTTTCAATTCAAGAGTTGTCATGAGGATGTTCTCAACTGTTGTGACACCTGTGTTCTTCCCATGTCTCTGAAGGAGGAAGTCCAAACATCATGATATGAATTCAATATAAAAATTTTATACTTAAAATGATATTTGAAGGACTATATATTACTTCAATTTGGACTTCTCAAAACAACTATCTCAAAAGTTTATTTGGCATAGAAGATAATTCTGGAAAGCTTTTCCCTCCTTTTTCTTTTTTTTTTTTTTTTTTTTGAGAGATTTTCGCTATAGGGCGCCTGCGCTCACCAGACAGACAGAGAGAGACGTAGAGACAGAAAGCGAGAAATCACCCCCCAGGGGGGATGGCCACAATCCCTTCTCCTCCATTCTCCTCTCGGGATCTTGAGCACACACGTACATGCGCCCGGAGTGAGTTTTAAGCCACCGGGTCCAAGACGCAATCCTTGGTCGACTACGTGGGAGTCCAGCGACATAGCCATTACGCTAACTGCTGGTTTCCAGCTTTTCCTTTTTTAAGAGAGATTTTTGCGACACGGTGCGTCCACTCACCAGAGATACAGAGAAACAGAAAGAGAGAAATCATACCCTGGGAGGATGGCCACACTACAGTCCCTTGTCCTCCATTCTCCTCTTGGAATTTTGGGCACACACACACACAAACACGCACGCCCAACGTGAGTTTTTTTTTTTTTTTTTTTTAAGCTGTCAAGTCCAGGACTCGAAACACGGTTGACTACATAGGAGTCCAGCGACATAATCGTTGCGCCATCTGCTGGTCCCTGGAAGGCTATTATTTAAGAAATGTGTTTATCTGCATTATCAAATTAATGACATTGACATTTAATAGTAGAATTTTTATTTAAACCATTATCTTTTTCATACTATATTCACCTCTTTTGATAACTTTTTGTTCCTTTTTAAAATAATGTACACTTGGGGCTGACAAGTGGTGTGGTTGGTTTTTTTTTTTAAATAAGTATGTATATTTGGTTTTTCCTATGTACATATATGTATACATTTATTTATAAAACCGTCCCCCACCCCTAAGGTGGGGAAAACTGGGGAAAGTAGAAGAGGTGAGGAAAAAAGGACCCAGAAAAAGTGGAGGGAATGGAGGGGCATGGCTGGAAAAGGAGAGGATCCCTTTCCTCAAGTTAAGGGGGGGAGGGGGAGGAACAGGAGCTCCATTGACAGTCATCTTGCGCCCCCTGCTGGTGGAGGACGGTGTCTGCAGGCAGTTCGAGGTGCCCCTTTGGCTGCCGAGGTGGCCCCACTGGCTGCCGATGGGGGAGTAGGGGAGGTAGGGGGGGTGGCTGGGGGGCCATGGGAGCTGGGAGAGCCATGGGGGGGGGTGGCCGGGCTG